CATAAGCTTTTACTAATGCAGGTTTTAATACCGGAGCGGAAACTTCCAGCCCCGTGTTAGAAAGAGGCCCGTTGTGCGCCTCGGCGGGGCTCTGCGTCGCCTGCCGTGCTGGGGGGCGCTGGGGCGACCGGCCGTTGCTCTGGGGTTGTTCACTGGCTCTGCCTTTCTTCGTAGAAGTCACAAATGAGGTTGCTTGGGAAGAGTCGCTAATGATCGGCCTTGAAGGAGCCCTCCTAGGCTGGTAGGTAACAGACGTACCTCTTGCTTTTGACATCAAGTTTTAGTCATCAGATGAAATAGGTGGACCAAAATAGGCCTCCCCAAAGTCAGAGGCAAAGAGTTCCTGCACGTTTTCTAGCTGGGGCACTGAGATGTCTCGTGGAATTGATAAAGTCCTAAGTGATTTTTGGACCTGTACTTCATAACTTTGAACTGAAAATTCTTTTGTATATGTGTAGCTTTAATTCTTATCAAAATCAGAAGAAGTTTTGTCAGCATTTACCCTTGTTAACGGAGAGAGAGGAATGTTTGAGCAATGCAGTAAAAGGTAGCCTATAGCCTTTTACCCTTTTTTTTCCTCCTGCTCCTGCCTTTTAAGCATATATCATCTAAATTAATATATAAATTATATATTTTATTTATATAAAACATAAATTTTATATATACGAGCATATATATAACACATATATAGAAAAGTAATATTATGCACTTTGTTTGCTCTTCTGGTAAAACTAATAACCTGATGTCCTCTGATTAGCAGGCAGTATCTATGGTTTCAGAAGCTTCTGTTTAAACATACTATTTTCCCCTTTCTCCTTTCAGCACTTTCAATGCATTATCCTGTCGTTCATGTGGCTTGATTGTGGGCTTCATTCTGTATTCTACTTTCAGTGATCTGGCTTATCTCCGAGGCTTCTTCTGTTTCTTCAAGGACAGCATCCTCTGGTGAATATGCTGTTTTTTTTAATGGTAAATGACTTCACAGGAGTTTGTAAGTGATTCTGTTTTAATCAGATAGTTAGTTATTAGTATAATTAATCTACAGCTAACAGAAGCTGTTTTACTTTTGAATGCATTGGTGCATGGGTTTTAATATTCTTTCTATTTAAATTGCTCATGTTGGCACAATTCCATTTGATTTGGCTTACATTTTTAAGTATCCTCATGTAATTTCAAGGATTAAATTTAAGTGCTTGCAGTATGAGATCAACTTTACTTCCAGATCCACTTAAGTAACGTATCAAAACGGTTCTGTGCTAGATTGAAGACTTGATTATAGAAACTATAAATTACTTTTAGTTGATGATGAGAGATCTTATGATTTGAAAGTAAAACTATTGTTATGTTTTAAATATTTTCATAATATATTGACTACTTTTGACAGCAGTTATACGATCTCCTTAAAATCATCTTAAATAGTCTGTCTAAACAATTAATACAACCATGTTTTTTAAAACTGTTTTTCTTGTCTTTCCCCTTTCCCTGCTTGTCTTCCAGTTATCTCTTAAAAACTAAAATGATAATAGAAGCCTCTAAGGTAAATTTTCCTGCTTTGAGCCTAAAGGAAGAACTCGGAAAAGTAAGGTTCTACATGACTTTGTATGTAAAATGCAAAAAATGCCAAATTTTTTTTTAGAGATCAGTCCAAAAATATTGTTTTTTTTTTTTTTGCTTGTTTGTTTTTAAGTGCAGATGATGTAGAAGATATTGGATTGTAATGTAGCTATGATACACATGCGGAACATACAAAACATTTTCCGTAACAACTTATCTGCAAAACATAAAAAGTTCTAGCTAACTTTCTGACAAGTGTGTTACCCTGTAATGAGTATGTATATTTTTGTGGTACCTGAATGTCATCAAGAGAGAAGAAGGGATTTTTCTGCCTCTTGAAAAGAGAAACCCAGAGAAATCTATACTTCATTTTTATGTGTTTGTCATCTGTTTCCTCACTCCCTTCTTTATGCTCCCTTCAAAGCACATACGCTATCCTGAGTGAAACGTAACATAACAGATGAGTATATTTAGGTGTACCCCTAAGCAAAGATGAAACAGTCTGTCCATATCTTGTCAAAATAGGTCTCTGGCTTTGTAAAAGTTGTAATGAGTTAACTGGGAAATGTTATGTTGGTCATACTAAGGCTTCAGCAGCTCTGGCTGCTTACTTAAGTGGAAAATTTCCATGCATCCCTGAAAGGGCTTCTGCTGACACACATTCATCTTATATGTGTAACGGAAGCTTCTGATTTGGGTGCTAGTTTTGGCTGTACTAAACATAGGGTATAGAGATATGTCGTATTAGACACTAGTGATACAACAGAGTCCAGTTTCATTTTCCATCTTGAAAGTCAGCTGCTTTTTAACTACTTAAAGTGGGGTACACATCTTGCAAGGACCTGATGTTAGGACAATGGTATTTTTTTTTATTTATCTTTTTTCTAGCTAAAAGAAAAACTTGTGGTGGTCCACATGCGCCTAGAATTGCTGATGAAGAAGCTAGAGGAATTGAACCAACAGAATAACGTGGCAGAAAAGCAGAGCACTGCATCAGATGCAGCTGGTCTCATGCCAGGATATGCAGTAGTCAAGATGAACAAATAATATGCCTTTTTAAAAGAACTACTGGAGTCGTTTCTACATCTCTGCGGGGTTTGTTCATTATGATGAAACAATGCACAAAAAAAGGTCAGAGACTTAATCTTTTACTTTATGTGCGTATAGAAAGAACTTATGCTAAAGTGCATCTCTTCAATCTAGGGGGACCATCCTGAAGCTATGCTGTGAAAAATTAATAGCTCACCCATGCAGCACAGTACTCTCTGAGGCAGCAGACCCACGGCTGTGGTTCTCCCAACAACTTTAGGGGAAAAAAGCAGCCTTCAGAAAGCTGAACTCAGCTTTTAGGGACTATATGAAACATACTAATAAGGTGATACACAAGAGGAGCCATTATTAATTAAACCTTCTTACAGAGGTCTACAATTTTTTGTCTTACCTTTTCATATAGTTACAATGTTTACGGTAGCTAGTTGTTGATCAAGAGGCTTGTTAGCTGCATCAGGTATGAGAGGCACTGCTAAATGGTGTCCTGATAGTTCTTTTTTACTTAGGTATGTGGCCTGCAAAAGAGGCCAGCTAGCATGTCATAGAAGCTGCACGGCATGCTCAAAGCATGGGAATGGAAGGCACGTTGCTGCTTGGAGCACAAGGTTTTGCATTACAAATTCAAGCACAATTCAAGTGCCTGCCAAGTCCTCTGGAAGAGCAACTCCATGGCTGCACTGAGCTGGGTCAGATTCCGTCTGCTTTGTCAACCTCAGACCGTGGGCAACTGCTTTTAATAGATTTGAGCCCATCTCTGGGGTTGAAGCCATGAAACCAAGGAATGCTCTTTTCTCCTCCCTTCCTTTCTGCTCAGTCATGGGAACACCGCTCTGCTGAAGCTGTGATAGTCCACCTGCTGCCTTCCCTTGGCCAGTCAAGATGTTTCACAAAAAAATAGCCGAAGGGTACTCATCAGCGTTTCTGTTAGTTTTGAATAGGTTCTGCTCCTCTCCAAACATCTAGAAACTCATTTGATGGAGAGGAAAGAATGCTACTTATCCCTTCTTATTGCGACAGAACATCTTAGTCCTTAATTCCCATTAGCTGGAAGATTAAGGGTCCTTTTCTTCTCCCTCCTGCTGCCTAAAAGTTTGATGTTTTAAAGCTTCCATTAAGCTTAATGACTGCCTGTAATACTCTAGAGAGGAATGTATTTACTTGATTGACTTAATTCTGGTGATGTGATTTGCCCTCCTCTACTTCTGTTTCCACATATGAATGGCAGATTGTAGCATGGTCTCAGTTGTTTTGATGTATTTGTAAAATAACTGTTATAATTGACTGGAGGGGATGAAACTCACTGCAAGGCACCCCAGGAGTTTAGACGGGCAACTGGTTGGTACTTATCCTGCTACTTATGTACAATGTAACCAATGCTTTTTGGTTAATGGTTCTGGGTGCTCTCGAAGTTTGTTCGAATTGAGTTATAACATAAAATATCAACAGCTGTTCTGCTGGAAGAGGAGCTCGTCTCCCTCAGTTAAATTATAATATTATATGCTACCTGAATTACTATTATTGCTTGTTTAGGTCACTGACAGACATGAGTGCAGAAAAGCAGTGCTTTTCAATTACAGCTAAATTCAAGATATCAAAAGTAACTACTTGAAGTAAATATTACACTTTTGTAAGATCTGTTTCATTGTCTGTAATGATAAACGTTTTCCTCTCTAAAAAGAGCTCTAGAACCCTTATCCAGGGAGCTGTGCTTTTTAGAGTTGTCATTGTATGTTCATGTAAGGTTGGAGTTGCTGTATTTGATTACTTCATTATTAAAAACAAGGAATTTTTTTTGTAAAGTTGTGTTGTACAGTGACTTCTGCACTATGTTTAAGGGCCTGTTGGTCTTTAACTGGGGTCTTGTGACAAAATTCATTTTGTATGATCATCCTCCCATCTCAGGTGAACGTTTTCACTTGTATAACTTCAGTTTTGTCTTACTTTCCAAGTGACAGCCCTTTTGTTGTTGCATCAGTCTAAGGAACGTGACTGATAATGGGACTATTTACTTTTACCCTTTCATTCTGGTTTCTGCATTGACTTTGTTTCTTACTATACACTTTACATCTACTCTGTGTGTAATATAAATAGTGGTGAAGTGTCTTGTTTCATGTCTAATATTCTAGATGCAGGAATTGTATTCACTGAACTTAGCTAAGCGTCCCTAAGTGAAAAAAGAAGCTGTCGGTTGTCTTTGTTATGATTTTACTGTTACAGTTGTAAAGAAGAAATTTTTTAATAAAAAAAACCCTGAAATTCAGAAGTGCATATTATACAGATCACATGTACTATCATGCGAGTCTTAAGTCTGCTTCTTTTACTTAGGTTACAAGATGTTTGCAGCAAAGACCACCAATTTATCTTGTACATGCAGGTCCTGGCTTATTGTGATGCATTGAATTAATAGTAATGCAATTCCTTGCATTACTTTGCTTGCTTAGCAGGAGTAACTGTTCACGATTTTAAGCAATTAATGAGTATGTGCTAGATAATAGCTGGTAAACTTTCTCAGGCTAATATTAAAGTGCATTTCAGTAACCTTTGGAACTGGAAACGCCTCAGGTCTGTTGAGTCCTTTATGTCTCAAACAAGACACTTTCTCAGCACCAGCCTAATTTACCGGCTGGCACTAACAGCACTACGCTGCTAAGCACTTACTGAGATACCAACTTAAACCCAAGGGTGTGCTTTGAATTAAGTGATGCGTAACTTTTTCTTGCTGAAGGATTCAGCTTTGGATCCGTCTGGCCCAGATTCAAATTCCTCTGAATTTACAGTTGATCAGTGAGTATTCATTTTCTTAGTGGAACCTAATCTCTACCTGGGCATCTTGAGACGTGTTCTCACTTTTCTAAGTGCAGCTGGACCACTCTGGCTCAGGAAGGACGGATTTTATTTAAACGAACACCAACTGCTTAAAAAGCAAGTGTCAAGGTCAGGCCACAGCTATTTTTATTCTTGTGTGTGCTAACCTGAAGCTGTCTTCTCTAGAACTCTATCCCTAAGGATAAAAGGGAGCAGAAAGTGAAACAAATTAGGTGTCTGAGCAGGCTATTGAAGTAACAACCCTACCGCACACCTTTTATAAGCTAGTGTAAGGGTAAGCAATCCATAACAGGTTTTGGAAAGCATGCAGCAGGGTGGGGAGGCATGGCCACTGCAGCACATATAAGGTGATGTCCTGCTACTGTGTTACAGCAGTCCTGAAAACAGCTCTCGGAAGCAACTGCAGGGAAAGTTGTGCTTGCCTCTAGGCTGCCACATACCGACTACAGAAAGAATTTGGAGGAAATATAATTACCAAACAACAAAAATGTGTGAAACAGTTTTTCCTAGGGACTTACTACTTTTTAATCAAGCTTTTATACAAGCAACAGAAATTTTCTGCTACCATCTAAAACAACCCTTAGAGCTTTTATTTGGCAAGTTGACCATCTTAATCTGATCAAAGTGACAGTCTTCCTTAGTTTGCCTCCAGGAAGTCAAGAGCACTCTTCTGCCTGAAGTCTCCTGGAACAGCTGGACCCAAAGCAGATACAAGAATATGTGAGTGAGTCCAAATTGCTAAACTTTGACAAAGTTACAGCAAGTGACAACATGTCTTAAAAGTGGAAGCAGTTAGTTAGCATCTCCATGAAGATGCTGCGTATAGTAACTTGGTTAATTTGTCTTTTGAACAAATGACACACAAAGTTTTTTAGTGCATTCTCAGCCTGTGCTGCTTTATTGCTAAAAAAAATTTGTATACAGGTGCAGAGTTTCCAAGTTCATTTTTAAACAGTTCCTCTTTACAGTGTTCAAAAGAATAAAATCTTATCTTGAAATCCCCAAAGATGCATAGATATAAAAGCAAGCTGCCTTTTGGAAAAACTTCAGAATTCACAGGGAGACATTCTTTTACTGTTGCCATGTAAAACGTGTGCAATGGGAGTACATAGTTTCTAATGATACCAATAATTTCCTCCACTAACCCATGTGAGCATGCCATCAGAAGTCCAGTATAAGAAGCACTCTCTAACCTGGTTTTTAAGTATTTGAATGCTTTTAAGAATCTGCTACAACTGTCTAATACTTCTCCTCTGCTGCTACATACCTTTCAAAAGGAGGATAGCTTCACTGAAGTCCTAAAGTACCTTATTTCCCCTGGTTTTGTATTGAAGGGGATAAACATTAAGAATGGATACAACTACTTACTCTTCACATGAAAAAATACATTTAACAGGGTTTAAAACCACGTGAAGCATTCTAAAGAATAGCGACTAGGTTTTAGATGGCCATGGTTAACCACTGGACTCAACTTGTTTTACAAATTCCCTTTTTGCTTGAAGTTGGCTCAAATTATTTCATTTAATCTAGTTTTTGATACCATAAAATAGTTATCTTCTTTTCATATTCCTGTCTTCATTTGGCAATTCTTATATATTGATAGAAAGAGCATTCATGAGGAAAACATGGCCCCTGTTCTAAACCCAAATCACGGTGCTTTGTGGATGGTTGCCTAAGTATGATTGGGAGTTAACTTGACAGTTTCTTCCTCTAAGAAAGACACTTCCTCTTTCTATTTAAGAAAGAAAGCTGAGCCTCAAGTATATGGAGGAATATTTGCACAAGTTAAGCCCACCTATAACATTAAGCTAAGCTGTTAAGTATGGAATCCTGCAGTAACAAACTAGCATTCTACTTGTTTGAATACTTCAGACTAGGAAAAGCATTAGTGATATAGGCTATGCCACAGGTGCTATGTTATTTTCATACTGCCAGCAGAAATTCACTGCATCACCCACTAAAAGACTTGGGAAATAATACAGAGAACATACCAAAAGTTTACAGAAAGATGGCACCCAATTTCCCTTTTATTAAATAAGTGAAACAAAGAAAAAAAATACTATATTGCAACCTGTGTTGTGGAAGATAAAGACCTCCAGTGATCAAATCTCATTTTCTATTTTTAAAAATCTCTTTGTCAAAGAACTTAAAAAATATACAAGGTAACCAGTATTTTCAGGCTCATTCCTGCAGATGCCATTATTGCTGGCTGATACCAGTATGCTTCAGTACAGCTGCCTATGTGGCTAAAGAGTTACCTGAAAATACTGTCTATTAAAAAGCTATTCAACACCTGAAATATATGTACTGTGCTTATTGATTTCAGTCTTCTCCAAATAATTCCTCTCACCACACCCAAGCCTTTTACCTACTGTCTGGCAAATAACCATTCAATTTGAGTCTGTTGTTCCTGTTATTGTGGGGTTCTTTTTTTTTTTCCTCTACGAGTTGCTCCCCCCTGTACCTTGTGAGAAACTCTGCACCCTTTTCCTTGCTACAGCTGCAGCAGGTGAGAAACCTCATCTTGACCCTAAACATGCTTAGTTCATGCCCTGCTTTTTACATGCCCAGGGCACTAACATGAACCAGACAAGAGGTTATAAAGGCAAGTTCTGCTGATCCTGGTTCCTGATTTGCTGCTGTTTTGGTGCCATGCTTCTGTCCCTATCTGTACATTCTGCCCCTTTCTCTACAGGGGCAGTGCATTCTCTAAAAACACATTTTGAGAATCAAAGCAGGAAGTTCAAGCTATTGGTATATTAATTCCTATTGCTTCATTATGTATAAATGCATATCTCAATTTACTGGTAATAACTACATTACACTAGACATTTTGAATCATGCATAATTAGAATACTAGCTCTAAGATTTGGTTTGTGGGCCTGTGCTACTTTCCTTCAGTTTCACCATGCAGTTCTTCCTTCTAAGGCATCACAAAAGTAGCCTTTTCTTTGACTTGCAAACATGCTCATTCGGAAGGGAAGAGAAGCAACCAGGATTTACACAGGACACACTAGATGGTAAGTTACCTTTTATCTTTAATAGTAGATTTTGTAAAGTCTTAGGGAATCCGTATTATAACCTGGTACATAGGCTCAGTGACAGAAACACACTCTTTCAGAAGAAAGTGCAGAGCAGACTGAAAGAGTTCAGAAATCCATAGTTAGTGTTCTGCACTAATAAATGAGACACCCTGGTTCCACTGCTGGCTTTTGTGTGCTAGTCAAAGTGCTGTAGAGGCAATACGCTGGATCACTCATTAGAAGAAATCCAATGGTATCTAACTTGAACTGCCATTATACAGCTCTGTACCTGAACAGCAAGTAGGATTATTAGGTTTTGAAGGAAGACCAGATAGTTTCTTAGAGAAGTGGGGAAGCAGATATTTCAAAGACAGGTTGTTCTTCAAAAACTGTTCTGCCCTTCCATATTCTTCTCTGCCCAGAAATACACTGCTAGCTCTTGTCAATGTACTCCTTGTGTAAAGCATTAGTGTCCTGGAGCTTGATACAATTTCTTCTCTCTATATTTAGGAGTCCTTGCAAGACTTTGTTTATTTTAAGTCCTGAATTAACTATTATCTTCAGCAGAAGTTGCAATTTCCAACATAACTACTGACTAGATCTTCTGCAGCAGCAGCACCGGGTAAGGAAACACTATATACATGCATCATCTGAGTTTAGTACTGCTAAAGGAGTCATGTCTGTAGTGGGCACTACATGTTTGATATCCCACAGTGAAATGTGCTAGCATCTGACACTTCTGCTTAGTTTTAGAAGCAGTGAAATCAAGGGCATGGGGGCCAAGTCACACAACAGTTCAGGCAGCTGTAAGGCAATGGGATTTCTGCTGCTGCTGTGAATAGTAATTTCTAGTCTAGTAACCCATGGAGTACAGATCATTATAAAGTCTGAATGGGGATGTATACATGGACAGCTTGCCTGGCTACTGCAGTCTTAGTTTTTTTCCCTCTTCTCTAAATGAATAAAGCCTTGAAGAACTCTATTCAGCCACAACATGAAGTGTGAACATGAGCATGTTTTCATTATTATGTAAGTGTACTTGATAACCACTGACTAGAATAAATTTGTAATTTATCTAATACTATCTAATAATCAAATTAAGGTTCCGCCATGGCCAGCTTCCAGTTTTATCAGAAATCCAGTAGCTGGAATTTAAGCTGATTACAACCTTCCAGATCTATTAACTTTCCATATGCATATTACATATTAGCTAACACCTCATTTAGTCATCTTCATGTTTATCTTGGTTACTTTAGACTGTAAAAATGCTCACAGCCCTCACAGTCTCATTATCAACTTATGAAGAGCCAAAGGATTCCACTTAAGTAATTTTAGATCTAAGAGTAGCCTCCCTTAAGCTATAACTTATGGTTCAAATTACTTCACCTTTCTAGAAGAAATCCAACCAGACAGAGGTACATCCAGAGGTACATCTCTGACACAATAATTCTGTCCAAAAGAGTATTATATATTGAGCCCTACTGTCTCTACAGACTACATACCTACACTGAAAACAAAGTGTCAAACATGGACTACTTTTTCTTCTTCTTCTTTTTTTTAAACAGAGGCTACAGCTGTAGATCAATACCCCTTTGTGTTATGAGAGGCTTCACAGCATTTGTCTCTCAAAGCTTCAGGCAACAGAAATCAGCCGTGGTCTGAAATAGGGTGCTTAGCAAGCCCAAAATTATTTTGGCTGTAAAGTAATATTTTTAGAATCCTACATTTCTGTTTGAGAAGTACAAATGTTTCGAGTGTCAAGTGTTCTCCAATAAACTTTTTTTTTTTAAATTGGTCTTTTTAAAGAAAGAAAACAAAAAGCACTTCCTGCAATAAAATGCCTTCTAACAACAGAACCAGGTTCTCTTCACAGTTCAGTACTTGGAAGGGTTCAGTTTTACCTCAGAGAAACAGAGCATGTATTAGACTACAAAAAAATAAAAACAAAATAGGGAAACTTCACCCATACTTTCAAAAAGAACTGCCTGCCCTTCCCCAGCACACATCGATTCAGACACGTTACAAAACTAACCAATGTTTTTCGTACCAGGTTCATTAACAAAGTATTCAAGTGCCAAGTTCCCTCCAAGGAGAGGAACACTAAGAGGAATTCACCCATCTTCTTAGGAAGAAGTGCAACTCCCTGCAGCACAGAACGCCACAAACTTATTTGGTTATTACCCACTTATTCTACTGTACAATCTTGCTAACGCAAGTTATTTTACTATCACATGCAAAACAGTTATTGCTACTAAAGTTCTATTTTTTCTTATTACATCATCTTATGGCTTTGTTTGCATCAGGGATTCTTCCCCCTACATACTGTGCTATTTTGCATTCCAGTTTCAGAGGTATTTTTCAATTGATTCTCCCAAGCACTAAACTACTTTATTCAATGGTACAGCTACACAGCTACTTTTGTTCAGAATTGAATCTAACTCCAATGACAGGTCCCCCAGAGCTCTGCCGTAAATGGCCCACCTGCCCAATTTTCTTGGAGATGTAGTAAATGCAGAAGTTCCCCCCCATTACATACATTAACTCTGCAAGGATTACTGGTTTCGCACCCAAGTATATGCTGCTTAATTACTTTATATTTATATTAAAATTACAAAACCAAGCTACTTATTCCCTCCCTCCCCCTAATGGCCATTTACAGGCAGGTCTCAGGAAAAAAAGATGCAGTATCCTCTCTAAGCTGACAGAGAATTGTGTTCCTATAAAAGAGAGAAATGGGTGAAAAGAAACACTGGCACCAAATAAAACACTTTTTCCTAGGAAATCAGAGGATGCCATCCACAGAGCATTGCAAACCTTGGAGATTATAACAGTCTCTTATTTGACCAGTCCAAGCTGCCCATTGAGTGCTACATCATTTGGACTTCCCCTGGTCTAAACTTTCCTTCTTAAAAAGCAGAGGGAGAGACAGCAACTATTAAAATTGAGATTAGAGATGGAAAGCAATACTGGAAGTTATCCAAAATAGAGGATATTGAGTTCTCGGTAATACAGGGGTGGGGAATCTATGACCCATAGGCCAGATACGGCCCACTGAACAGCTACAGTCTGCAGCATTGACTTTTAACAGCCCTTGACCTTACTATTCTCTCACGTTATTATTAAGATGTGTGTAAATGCAGGATCCACCATTGGTGTTTTAGAGATTCAATAGGACTTCAGCAAAAGAGGTTCCCGATTCCTGCAATAATAGATAAAAGTTTCTACAGAGAATTGGCAGATAGCATTTTGCAACCATTAATTTATAAGATGAGGAGGCTAACATTTAACTTGTAACAATTACATAGTCAGAACTGAAAAATTGTTTTGATTTAATTAACAGAGTTTGCAAATGATAATCTTAAGGTAGCAGAGACGTGTACAAAATGCACACTAGCTCTTTAGCATATTCATGCTTTCTGAGTATATCATAGGATGGGTAATAATAAAACTGAAAACGCTGCTCATGGAAGAAAGCACCTTCACTAAAGACTTAAAAAAAAAAAAAATCACCACCGGTAAAGAGATGAGAATTCTAGACGCTTACGTACAATAGTCTACTACTGCAGTTGGACAGATTTACTAAAAACAAAGAGTCAACTATGATTCTATGAAGCCCATTAAGTGAATGCATTCCATTTCTAAAGATAACATTACCATTGCCAAAGGGAGGATACTGCATATTTAGACCATGTTTGTGACATTTTTACTGTATCCTTTCTATTGTTAATTACATTATCACTGTTTATTAATAAATTTGTCACTCTGAAATTGTAAAAATACTACTAGGCTCATGCACTGATCCTAACATGGCACTACAGTTTGCTACAAAGCACTAATGCTTATGGAACTATACACATCTCAAAATGGAAGACATTGGTGATTTTGTTGTTTTCAAACAACTTGTAACATCATTTTGTCCACAAGTATTAAAATATATATATGTGTATATATATGATCTATTGCACATGCCCCTTATTTTTATAATCTTTCACATGGGAAGATTTCCAACCAACATAGAGAAAGAAAGTGGAGCAAGAAAAAGTAAGAACGCTGAGGCAGCATTTCCTAACACCGCAATTTTATAAAGAAGCTGGCTGGAAAGATACAGCAGTGGGGGTCTCTTGGGCATGCACTATTGGAGTATTATTTCTGTGAAAGCCACAGATCTTTAGCCCTGCTAAAAATGTTATGTTCTAAAATTAAACTTAACAACTAACATTGTCACATCGTCAGGGATAGAAGTCAGAAAAAAAAAATCAATAGGTCTATTTCTTAGAATGCAGGGTTACAAAATACAAAATGTTGAGTTATTCCTATGGACATGGCATCAAAGAGCTTAAGGTGTGTCTACTCTCTAATCAGGGTTTTGTACCTACCCACAGAAAATAAAATACATTCCTGTCCCCCACGTATTTTGTCATCAAGCAGTGCTAGAAACAGCTGCTAGCTCTAATGTCCAAAGGATAATGAGTATAGGTAGAAGGAAGAAAAAGAAATTCCCAGATTTAGGAACAGATGTTTCTTATGCCAGATACCTTCCAACCTCATATAATCCTATGATATTGACAGTATTTTCCATCGCTTAGAGATGGATCCTGCTTCTACAGACATCTGCATTAAATCCCACTGGTTTCAACATAAGGAGGACCTAAAAGGAAAAGTCCGTTTCTAGTTGTCTCTAGCACAATAAAATTCAGACCGTATTCAGTAAAGAAATCCTGCATTCTTAAAAGTCAGGCCAAGTTTGTGGTTGCCTTGCCACAATATAACGTGACTCTTACACAGCTCAGAGTGTCACCCACAATGTTAGTGCACCTCTCTGCTCGTTACAATTGGCTTTACTTTGATATGCAGTGTCTTGCCCATCACTCCTTAACTTATGAGCCTGATCTTTTCTTCCTGGAAACAAAAAAGGGGTAAAGCTGCCATTAAATCCTATTGTTACAATGCATATCTAGATGTGGATCTAACTGAACTCTGTTATGAAGACCAGAATCAAGATCAGTATTTGTCCTTACTCCACTATGGAACTTGTTCACCATTAAATTTCAGTACATTTTAAAAAACAGAATGCTGCCCTTGCAATCTATCATTAAGATTTAGGAAGGATTTCAGCTGTTGCTTTTTTTTTCAGCCATTTGCAGGCTGTCTGGCTCTCTCCAGCAGTTTTCTAAAAGGAAAAACAAAACAACCCCCCTCCCCAAAACGTCCCCTAACCCTGCTACTGTCCCCCCAAACCCTATTAACAGAACCTAGATACCTTTATTTGATCGAGATTTGAAAATATTATTTTAAGCTAGTAAGTCACATTTTCTAAATCACAAGCTTGGAATAAGGTGCACTAAGAAGAGCTCCAGATTAAAGTGGAAAAGAATACATAACCTATTTCTGGCTCTTTTGCCAAGAAATCATACTCGCCACATACAACATCACAGCAGGGAGCATGTGAGCATTATAAGCTCGCATTTCAGACTGACAGAAAACATCCCAAATAATCACAAATGATGGAGACAAAGAATGCTATGTAAACATAAAAACAACAGATTGCTCCTTAGTTTGGGAAGGAAATTCAGAAGGAACCAGAAAAAAAGCCCATCCTAAATATTTCTGCTCTCTCAACACATCACTCTTACGTGGCTAAGAGTTCATTCTATTGGGCCTATTTCCACCTATATATGATGGAAACATGTAGGTCATCTCAGTTCTCCATCAGCCACAGAAGAATCGAAAAGCTAATTTCATCAGCAGTATGAGAAGCTGAAACTGTGCCAGGAAAGTTGAGTGGATAAACTGAAGCTTTACACCTCTGGTCTCTTCCATCACACCAGAAGAGAATTTCTTTAACAAATAAAGTTCTGCCCCACCTCTTTGATAGTAGAGTGTTTTTGTTCCTTTTGCTGCTTAGGGTTCATAAAAAGCCATGGAGAGAGAATGATTTAACATAAACCCAATCATTATCCTGTAACTCTAGAGGTCTTTAAAGCTTCATTTTCTTTGCGAAAAATGAAATGTGCAGAGTAATTTCTCCTTCCGGTCAAAGCTCATCATATCCAGACTTATGTGGATTTACACATGCAAAATATATATTTTGATCACAGATTGGGATGATGCATTTACACACTATAGACAAGGTGACTCTGCATTTGTTCCTTTGCATTAGTTGCTTTATGTGAGTTGACATCAAGACATCTATCTACAAAGTCAAGCCTAGGTCCTGGACTAGAAAATACCTGCTCTGGGGCTTCCCCAATTGTCTGGGGAAGTTCCTTCCTCATTTCAGAATGGAAAGTATATTCTGGTTCTCCTGTTGTAACCTCTCATGCACATCAAGGCAATCTGGCATAGCAATACATGCAGACACTTTATCTGATAGGAGCTCCAATATGACACAGTGAAGAACTTATCCCTCCTGAAATGAAGAAGGAAATATCAGTGAAGACGACTGGCTCCTTCATGCATCTCATTACAAAGTCTTTCTCATTTTAAAATAGAATGTAGAAAGCTGAATGAAGAGCTGGCACAGGAGACACTTCTTCAGGGAAACAAATGCTCACTTCTGTTACTCTGCTTTTGAGTCTTGGTAAGATGGTGGGTGCTTCTGTGGGAGAAGCCATCTGGTGACTCAAATGTTGGGTAAAATGGTGGAAATCGGAAGTAGAGAGGTCTTTGTTCATTCAGCTCCATGGAAATAAAGGACAGGCTTTCTCTTGCTAGAAGAGAAACATCCACATCTCACAGCCTGTGAGCAGTCACCAAGAAAAAGCAACAGGACCACCTTCTCAAATGTCAAGAGAGGATCTGGAATCCCAAAACAAAAGAACAGGAAAGATAGTTTAGGAAACAGAATAAACTATATTCAACATGGAAATAACCACAAATTCATTTCTTTAAAAGTCTAATTCTAATGAGTAAAATTAGCTGGCTTCACAAACTGCAAGAGTCCCTTGTTCTAAAAGATTTTAAATCTAATTGCAGATGTTTGTAGGCTGGCTAAGAAAATACTATGGAAATGCTAAATTAACTTATTATGCTTACTCAGAAGCAATGCATCCAAAAATATACAGGTGATAATAAGCTATGGGGCTTCTTAACTGTGACTCTAAAAATAACATGACAATGTTGAGGTAGCACCAGAATACATACTGCACACAGAGCGTGTATTCTGCTTTAACAGGTCATAACTCAAAGAGATGCTATAAATTATCACCTAATTAACTAAAAAATTGTCAATGCTGTATGAAAACAAAAAGTGCTTATGACAGCTGTACAATCACAGAGATTAGGCATTTTCTTTTATTCATTTCTCCCTACTTGCCCACAGCGTAGATATACTTCAACGTCTTCCATCATGTCACTGATCTCCCGGCCTTTCATCAGCGATACTCACCTGGTATAACCTAGTCCTGTACTGCAATGAGAGAAGTGTTTTTCCTTTTCTCTCTTGCTCTTGCTCTCTCTCCTTCTCTCACATACAAGAATATGGGCATACACAGTATTTTCTACCCCTTTCCTCTCTTCTCCCTGATCTTTCTTTGCCTACATTTCTCAACTTACTCCAATTACCTTAACCCTTTAGTTGATCAAGTTCTGAAATAATCTTCCAGCGATAATTTTCAACTCCTATATTAGGAGTAGTGAGTAGATCATGAGAATGGATATACAGCACACATCACCGCTTTCTCTCTGAGGCATTCAAATACTTCAGCTGATCATAAAGTTGACCATCCATACCCACACTGTTGGGAAAGTCTTATTCTTGTTGTGAAGCTGGGGAAAACCAGAGGCCTGGAGAGCTGCAACAAAACATGCCAAAGGTTTGTGGCAAAGCTGAGAACAGAATCTAGAATTTCCTAACTCTATTATATATCTTAACTGCCAGAACTTTACTTATTCACTAGGCAAAAAAACAAATCAAAGCTCCAGAAGTTGATTGCCATCCTTTGAAATTCTGAATGTACTTCTTTTCTACTCGATAACTCATATTTTGACTATGTTATCGTTCTTCCTATGCTACTGTTTAAAAAATATAAATTTTAAGATGACTATTCTAAGTTAAATTTATACAATAAGCATCTTTTAGCAGACTAAAATGACAGCATGAGACAAGTATTTCATAACTTTAAAAGCATTAATTCTTTTTTAGAATACACAGTTAAATCAAGCTTTCTTTCACGAGAAGCCCAACCCAAAAGCTGACACAGAGGTAACATTCCAGTGCTCTGAAAGTACGCTAAGAAAAATTACAATCCCAATGACTGATGGTCATTTGAGTGGTCAGAAAGGAGAAAAAAAACTGAGAACTGCAGTACTTATCGATGTCCTGATGGCTTTACCCACCATTATTTGTCACCATCCAACATTCTCTTCAGTGAACCTAGACAGAAAGAGATGAACAAATAAGATTAAATTTGCAGCTAACAAGCTATTCAGATGATAGAACACCTGCATAAGATACAGTCGATTAGCCATACCTTCCAGGAATTAGTTAAAATTTTTACACGTTTTATATAAACCATGCTGATGTTACTTTTCCTTTAGTTTAACAGGAAAGATGATCAAGCAAGTGAGGCTTAACTCTGGAAGACCCAGGACAGACAGCTTACCCTAAGAACAAGGTGGGGAGGGGGAGCACACGTCCAAAACATGCTTGAAAAGCTTCTGTTCAAAAGCCATTCTGTTTCCTGGAGTAAAACCATGTGTGTCATTCTACAGAATACAGTTTGCAAAGTAATGAACTCCCTTCTTTCCTAGATTTTGTTAGTTCTTACTTCACTGAGAGCAGCCAATAATCCATGCTTAACTGACTATACCGGGAGACATAAGTATACATTACTACTCAAACTTTTAACTGAGCATATTTTGAAAATAAGCAATCCTTTTTACAGTAAGCTAACATCAACAGACACATGTTCCAATTTCATAGGAACAGAGATGGACAGAACAACTGTAGGCTCCAATAAGACAAGGAACTCTTTCATGCTTGCACAGACCTGCCGTACCAAGGAGACATAATGCCTGTACTCAAGGGTGCTGAGCCAACAACCTAACTGCAAGAAAAATGGATTGCTATACGCAGGACTATCTCATTATACAGGACTTAGAAGAATGAAAGGTCCCAATATCCTCTGCAGTATTCTTGATTTCCATCTTCCTGCACTACAGAGCATTTTGGCAAGCAGCAGAGGACCCCCACCTTTACAAAACTGTGGTCAGTTGGCCATCCTAAACCCTGTGTTTCAGGCTATTTCTTCCATTATGACCCCTGCAAATGACATCTTGTCAAGGTCACATAGTGCTTGTTAGGTTCTTGCGGAGGTTGGGAACTCAATAGCAAGTCATTCACAAAACAATTAACTTGATAAAGAAAAGTTATCAGGAATTTTCACATGCTTACTGATTGTGATAGTGGAAATGAGACAATCCCCAATATTAGTCTTTGAAAAGCTGGGTTTCCTTTCACTCATTCAAAACTAAATACTACCTTAAGTTTCATTATAAAAAGGCAGCAAGTGACACTTAAAGTAACTCATACCAAGAAAATGCTTCAACCAATACTGAAATTCAGTTGCTTTAATCCTTTTTTTAAAATCCACTCTTTGATTTTAGATGCTCCAGTTTTTAACTGCTCTGCTTGATATACTTTCTATCCAACTTTCATAGAAGATGTGAAAGCAGAATTCACAACAGTATCATCAGAACTTGAAAATGCAACCAAGACTGAAATTAGCAGAGACGGAAATTGATAGTAACAGTACCAACTCCATAACTAAAATCTAGTGGAAGCTTTGGTTCACCAAAAAAAAATTGATTTTTTTTGTTTCATAACTGTCTGACTGCATACCTAAATCAACTGATCTGGAACAAGAAACTGGTTGTGAAAACTCCACGTTATACTTACTAGTCAAAATTTCATGAAAAAAAATTAAAAAAAAAAAAAAAAGAAAAGGCTATCTCCTACTCATGAACTTTGAATCTCATTCCTATTGACAATTTCCGGAATACAGACAACTTCACAAGCTTGAAAGCTAAAAAGACACGAAGAAATATCTCATTAAAAGAAGCATTTGTCTTCTCATTTAGATCAATTTATCTTACTACTAATGGACCAACTGGAAAAAAAAAAGCAGCCTTCTAGCATAATCTGCACACTGGAAATGGAAGCTATAGTGACATGAATAGTGGTATAACCATGCTACTAAGCATTGTCAAATTCCTTACCTTCAAATTTAAGGTATCTTAAGTTTTAATCAGATTAGTGAGCAAGAACTCAGATCCATCAGATGTGGCTTTCCAAAATAACACTTATAAGTTGTACTTAGAGATATAACACACACACACACGAGCGCATGTGCGCTCAAGGAGGTAAGTAGAAGAATTAACAGGAATGTAGAAGACAGGTTTGAGGGCTGAGAAGATGAGTAGAGTAGCATACGAGGAAGGAAAGAGCTAGAAATAGGTTTATGGAGAAAGGCCAAGATATGAATGTTTGAAGCTTATATGTGATGGAGGTATTTGAAGATACAGATAGCAAAATAAATGCTATAGTTTGCAAGTCCACTGAGATCTTTTTGATAGCTTAACAAGACATGTCTTGGAAAGGCAATTGACACACACAACAGTTCTTTTTTAAATAAGCAAACTAGAAGAACAGTTACTTTAAAATGTAGTTAAATACAGTTTAAGTTACTATACATAATTACATTAAACACTAACTGCTTTGTATCTAGAAGTCCTCAGTTTTTGTCTTCCCTTTAGGTCAGCCTTTTTCAGTCACTAGTATTTTTTAAAATACAGATATGACCAAAACAGTGAACACAGGCGGGAGCCTGTAACTTGGATCTTTTTCGGTATAACTTCTAGTTATAGAATTTCTTCTAGCTTCTTGAATTAAAAGAATATGCCCTTTTTCTCTAGTAGATTCAATTAGATTCCATCCTGCTTTCTATATGACAAATTTTTCAATGATATGTAAACAGAAAAGTTTTTTTCTGGAAGCTGGTATTTACATAAAGTCAAAGCTGAAATAATGTGCTTAATAAGACCAGTAGGAAATTCACAGAACTTGTGGGTAAGAAATAGTTTTGATGGGTACAATAAGCAAGCTAATGTACGTGGAATGTTTATCATTTTATAGCCCCTCGCTATCTTAACCAAGTTCCAAATTTACACCATAAAGCTGATAATGACAAAAGCTGAAATCATAGACACAGTGTACAACAGAATAGCTTAACATCCTTTTATGCTGTTTTCACTTTCTAGGCAACTTTTTTAAAAAGTATCTAAACCCAATCAAACTATGCAGCAACGTAGAGAATTGTAACAGAAAGGCTAACATTGTTGTGAATGGAGAATGAATGGGATTAATGTGGATTCACCAAAAGGAGGACACAACAGAGAGCGGGGCCTCTGTTAATGGCACCCAGGTTTGCAGGTCATCAAGATCCTAGCACATCCTCCTGCACTTTCAGAAGACACCCAGATCTGGAGACAAAGAACGCTGATGACTTCTAGAAGGGGGACAGGATTGAGACACTGGTCACTGTCAGCTCCAAAAGGGTACAAAAAAGCATATCTGAAAACTATATGTGGTTGCCAACCTACGAGCAACCCAGGAGACCTGAAGAGAACTCGAGAGCTGATGTCACTTGTCCTCTATGTCATGGTAAAAGAATTCGGGACCTAAGATCTGGTCACAAGCAACATGGGGCTGACTGCTGGACAGATGGCATGAACACCTCTGTTGCAGTGCTTAGCTGCTGCATAGACTTCTTGGGCACTGCACACATTCTGGTGCTTGTAGGGGACTCAGAGTGCAAGTGACAAGTCTTTGTTTCACTTTTTATTTTAAATAAAAACATCCTCCCCTTCTATGAGGTTTCCAAATGGATATCGGCTACATTGTTGATACAATGTTGCAATAGCATTTCCTACAGCAAATGAGAAAAACAGAAGATTTTTTACAGATGAGTTTTCTATTTCATGATACACACATCACAGCAAAGCGTTACTTGATTACCATCAAAGGAACAAAACATCCCTTCCTTCCCAATTTGGGATTTTTTTCCCCAAGAGGAAAAAATCCTCTTTCTTCTTTTAGATCTTCAAGGACTGCATGGACCCTTGCATCCTGCATTCACATAACCTCCAGCATGCCTCAGGACACTGTTCCTTTCCTAGTTTTAACAGGAAAGGTGGAAATTGGTCAAGAGGTATTCTAGAATCTTCACAAATTCAGAGTTTTTAGCTTTAGTTGGCCCCGGATGTTTGAAATACCTGAATGGCAGGTCGCCATTGTAAGGTACCTGGCTCTGTCATGCAAATCTCCATATTCAACACACACACACAGACAGAGCATTGTGTGCAAGATTGTAAAGCAGTGCACACAGTTAATTTGACACATACTGGTAGAACAGTAAATTCTCAGATTTTTTTTTTTAAGAAATTACTTCCCATAGCTCTTGAGCATTCAGTATAATGAAGAATAAACGTTAATCCAAGTGACATTTACTTACTGCTAAAGTAGTGTAGTACTTCATGTGAAAGAAGATTGATTGCTTATTATTCTTTTAACTCTAGTATAAAGTAGAATTTTCTATGTATTGTGCCAGAAGTAAATCCACTTCTTCCAAAGCTCAGTTTAAATTCTCACTACAGGAAATTTTTACTTTCCATTTCTTAAAAAAAAAAAAAAAAAGAAAAAAGAAAAAAAAGGTCTTCTTACTATCAACTGTGTGTCAAACACAACTGGGTGCGTTCTTTCTGCACGTTCAGATAACTTAAAATCAGGCTTCTTAAAAAGATGTTCAGACAAGCCTATCATGACAAATTTCTGGAGATGTGTATAAGTAGATATTCATCAGTAGCAGCATATCGTGCCGTGGTGTTATGTTGCTCATAAACTGCTATTGCTGTTATTAAGTGAATAATAAACACATGGAATGAGTAAAACATTCCCGAGGAAATTTTTCTCATAAGCAGAAACTGCTTTCAGAAGCAGCCACTACAAACACACTTACCATATTTCCTTTGAGTTACTTCAGTTAGAAGCAACTTTGTCATTACCAGATAATAAGATAAGATGTAAGATAACGTGCCATGACTTCACAGGATCCGAAGCTACGCTTCTCACTTAGCCACTGCAACTTTTAAATTTCACCTGACAAGAATATTGAAAATGCAGTCACTAGTAACAAACTAAAGATTTAAGACAGTGTTATAAAATAAGTAACATCAAGAATTCCATGCTAGTGAGGGTAATCAAATTTTTTTACAGAGAGTACCTTTCTATAGCACAAAAAACTCAAAGAATCCTGGCTGAAAAATTTAGTGTAAATCTGGCCTGCATGCTGCTAACCCGGAAAGGAGGGAAAATGTTTTTACTAATACTCTTTCACATGTCTCATTATATGTAAGGCCCTTTTCACCTTGCTATTGTCAATAATCACATGAACTCGTAAGCTTACAGTCAATTCCGCTGTCAACATCTCCTCTCCACTCTCTGTAAAGCTTACTTTCCGGTACGAGATTACTTACACGTTCTGATTCCGTTTGTCAAATCACTTGGAAGTCATGCCCTTTGCACACTCCAAAGTCGGTACGACTCAGATATCAGAAAAGGACACAACTATTCAGATTATCAAGTTAACGAGAGCCTTCTAATATACAGACTCCAGGAATGAGAGAGAGGACAAAAGAGTAACGAAGAACTGTGCTATTTTGGTAGCCCGACATGAAAAGCCTAGTTTCCGACGACACGCTTTGATTCCTCTCCTACACGTACGTTGCAGCTGCAGCTCCGCACCGCAGACGTGCTCCCGGCCGCGGGTACCTGAGGCGCGCTGTAGCGCTGCGCAGGAAGCCCGCTCCCGCAGCCAGGGGCGGCAGCCGGGCAAG